GGGCGTTTATTAATTTCAATGGCAAGTACTCTGGCCAATTAAACAAATGAATGTCCAACTGCTAAACACAGCTAAATGTGTTACCACGTTTACACGTGTTTTTGCCACGCTTAGCGCTGGCAAGTAGAAAATATTCCGGTGTAAATGGAGCCTAAAAACAAACCAGTCTTACATAAAAATTTAAAGCGGTATTAAATCCAGAACCAAAAATTTAATATATTGCATCTTATCAATCATGAGATGTAGTGGCTGCAACCATTTTAATTTCTTAGGCTTTCTTCCCTCTGTTTTCACCCAGTGATCTGGTCAGTAACACACCTCCTGTATTAGAGTGCCTCCACTCTGGATGCAGGAGCACAGGGGGCACCTTTGGACAGTGGCATTGTCAGCCTGGAGGAGAGGAGTGTAGATGTAATGCGTGCAATACCTGCATGATACCAACTTTAGCTAATATTGTATAAGCAGTTACAGCAAACATTTTTTTCCTTTTGAGGTTTTTACATTTTAAAAACTGATTGTGCTAAGCAACCCTGCCAGTGTTAAATGGTATGTCTCATTTCTGTAACTGGTAAATTCTGCTGGAGAATTTTGCTGTTGAAAAACAATAAACTTACTGGCTGGATCACCAGATGAAAATAGTAGAAAGAAAGCCTAAACAAGAAAATGAATGCAGCCATCACATACCAAGAAATGGTAAGCTGCAATATAATAAATGTTTGCTTTTGAGTTTAATACCACCTTAAGCAGGAGGAAACCAATATCAAATTCTGAAACACACACACACTTGTAAAACACAGAGGTACTGTATGTGCTACTTTATGACTTTAACTGTTACATCTGTTATTGAATATACAGTGCCTAAATAATTCCTTAGCTTCTAAAGTCTTTGAACTGCTCTAATGTATTTATACCGTATGTCTACATTTTCTAGTAAGTGCTATTGAAATGACTCTGTGTTAAGCTTACACCTCATGAGTCACGAGGTATTAAAAGGCAGAGCATCTGTGGGAGAAGTTTATAACAAACCATATGTGTTATGATGTCTGTGTCTTTCAGTTGTATAGTTCCCAACATCCCCTTAAACATCATGGACGTGGTTGAAGCTGTCAGGCCAGCATGAAGTTGCATGCATCATCTGGGCAGGTATAAATATTCATGAGGATTCAAGAGATTGTGAACATACTCCTCACTTCATTCATAGGTTAACTTGTATATCATTCTACATACTGATCCTGATACAGTTACTAGCTGGTACACAGTTTACTTGGATTAGATTCTTTTCTATGCAAGTCCAAGTGACAATTTAAAAAGACTAGTTTTAATTTTAGATGTCCTTTTTTTTTCATTGAAAGCTTTCTATAAATAAAGAGGCAAAAGAACCTGACCAGACATTTCATTGCAGTGAAGATTACCTTTGTATACAAAAATGGCAGAACTACCAAACATATATGAGAGGAGCTGATCCAAGACACTGAATATTGAATGAGGCCTGGTCTACTGCTTCACAGCATCCATATTAACAAATAAGTGGGTCCTCCATGCTGATCATCTTTATTTCATAAGCTCTATGTGCATATTACAAATAGCCAAAACTGCACTACTACAAAAAGCCAAAATGATGGCATGCTACAACAATAAATGAGGCACTTTGCACAAGATTATAATTGTTAAAATATTTAAGATAATATCCATTAAAACGTTACTGCTATAGGGGTGTACCTGTGTTAACGTGGTTGTAAACCTAAGACATGAAATATGAACAAAGCACGTCCCTCTATAGTGTGTATTTGTCTCAATTAAGAGCACTAAGTGTCATTTCTGTCTGCTGCCTTGTTCCTCTGCTATCAGCATGAATCACTTCTGACAAGTTTTCCTGACCCCAAGAGAAAAAGGATGATGGGGAGGGACCACCAGCTGATTGACAGCTTCAGTTCTGTTACTGTGTGCAGTGTGGAGGGGGGGTGTATCTTCACTCCAATCAGCTGTCAGAGCTCTCCTCATTGAGCTCTGCAGAGTGTAACTTCAGCTCTACAGATCTACTGTAGCTCACAATCACAGCATTTCCAAAACCAAGAAGAGGAGGTTCAGGGCTGCTTTGTGTAAAACTACTGTAAAGAGCAGTTAACTATAACATTCTTGTTATTTAGAAAAAATAATTGCCTTTAATATCATTTTAGGTTCAGAAGGACAGTAGATCTGAGAATGTACTGTAGATTCATTTTGTTTCAAGTTCCAAAATATGTTTACCAAAGTCCCTCCCCCAGGACTGGGGTGAAATCACTCTAACACTGAACCAAATACCAAAAGTTTAAAGGTTGCAAAGCTAGATTTTCCTGCTCTGTGCAATTGTTTTGCACAGAGTAGCCCCTTACATCCTCCTTTGGGGTCCCCCAACAGTGATGTCTACTCCTCTTCTCCAAGTACTCCACTTGCTATGATTAGAGGGTGTGCTTAGCTGAAAAAACACTCCTCCAGATGAAAGAAAAAAACGCCCACAATACCCCTGGGATGTATGACATAATTTTGGCATAGGCCAGCAACCAACCGAACAAATGTAAATAAATAAATATAATATACCTTCCTATCTATTTACTAATACTAATCACTAATAAAGTTTCACTACAGGCAACATTTTATATATTTAATTTTTTTCAGTTTTATATAGAGTGGAGAGAGGATTAGAACGCTTGTCAGGGTTTATTGCTGTCTGTGCCACCAATAGGGAGAATAACATTCTCTATTTGTCCTGTTTACCATTATCATCGAAAGTGAAATTAAAAAAATCCCACATTTTTGGATGACATTTGAACAGACATAGAAGAGAAATCTTCCAATGGGGACATTAGTTCTGGTGACCCTGGTGACATCCCAGAATTCTCTCACTTTGGAGGGATTTTCTTCCACTTACTGTTTTGGAAATCTTTAAAATGGGACACATATGGCCAAAAAACTGACAGGGGATATAACCCTTCTGTACTCTATCCAAATTGAAAAACAAAATTTGGCCTTTTGTGACACTTTAATGTTGATTGAAAGAGTATAGTTCCGCTGTACGTAATTTAGATATAAAGCAAAGTGTCTCCCAATGGGAGTCTGAAGATTTCTTTTCGGAATGTATGATCATACATCCTTTTGCCTACTGTACATAGTGGGCTTTTCATTGGTTTGTCAACAAATACATATTCAGAATAATTTTTCATTTAGCAGAATGCTGTGGTTAATGTAATTTCCCATTTGGCCTTTGGCAATTCTAAAAAAAAATCTGCATTAAAGGTCTTGCAAGGAAGAGGAGAAAAAATAGCCTTTTCTAAAGATGATACTAGGACCCTTGCATGTCTCAATATGAAAATGACAACAGCATTTTTTTAAAAATATGCCAGTGATCCTTCAATATCCTTTTTAAAGGATAAGCTCACCTTTAGAACATGTTACATGTTCCACCCATTTTTAGGGTGGAACATGTAGCATGTTCCTATAGCCGTAGCTGTGCCGCCCCCTCCCTCTGACAGATAGTATGGGGAGAAGTTTCTCTGTACTGTCAAATTTGAAAACTGCATGGCCGCGCAGGGCTCCACCCACATGACCGTGTCACTCATGCACAGTGTTCAGTGTACAAATCCCGGCAGCCTTACTGGCTGTGGGCTTGTAGTTTTCAATAAACTGCCATGGTGCTGTGGAGCGCCATGATGATAGTTCATTGAAGCTTCCTGTCAGTATATCTGCTTGCTCATAGATCCCATACGGCAAGCAGATATTCTGACAGGTCTGCAGGAGACCTGCATGGCATCAGAGATCAACTGATCACTGGTGCAATGCTTTACAAGCTCCTTTGGATGAAAATAATAAATGCACATTTACCTGCAAAAAAATGTGCATTTATTATTTTTGTCTAAAAGGTGAACTTATCCTTTAAAGCTGCTATTTAATCTGCCTTTTTTTTACCTTCCCTGGTCCCTCCTTTCCCTCACCAACAAGCTAATAAAATCACTGGATCTCTGTGCTTCTTTATGAAATCCAGGCAGATCATGGCATGTGGGAGGGGATGGATGCTGTGGTAACACCTACATGGGATGTTGAACCCCAAGAACACACATATTCCTTTCTCTATTGCCACCATACATGATTTTTCTGCAACACTGAGGTAACATTTTGTATTATTAATTACTTTTTAGAAATTATCTTTTTCTTAGCTAAGATGGCACTCTAACCCTTAGGCCTCATCCATATCGGCACCTGTGTTTATATGTTTCAAGAACATTTTTAAAGGCATATAAATACATGTAATAATTTTTTAATCATGCCATTCACACTGAATGCTCACCTACATTTAGGTGTGATCAATTTAGCTGATTTTTGAGAAAATGTAATTCTGTGCATCTAGGATCCTTTACCCTGCCAAGTTACGTGTTCTACACCACTGGAAAACTTACTTTGTTACTGACCCCAATGGTGCAGAATTCTTGCTGGATGACAAGGTACTGCTGTTGGAGAGTGTTCTTCATAACCTCTCAGTGTTGCTGAAGTCACTATTTAAGGTGTATGTTACCGCAGCATTTTATATCTCTGATATGTGTCCGTTGTACCATGTGTACTTGTATGAAAAGGAATCCTGTTCTTTTTCATTACTAACTTTGTGTGAAATACCTGGTAATCCTGCCATTCTCCCTGTTTTCCTATTTCAAACTGACTCTGCAAGGCATGAAAGCACATCCATTCATCCTCCCTACTTGAGAAAACAGTCTGCCTGTACTCCAGTAGTCAGACTCCTGTGATCAGTGTACCATTGTTTCTCTGTCTTCTGTTGATGTGCCCCCCTTCAGTCTCCACCCCCCAGCTTTTTTAAGTCCTTTATGCAGCTGAGAACAGAGATCATGAAAAAAAGAAAAAAAGGTAATATATATATACACTATATTGCCAAAAGTATTAGTACATACCTCCAAATCATTAGATTCAAGTGCTCCAATCAACTCATGGCCACAGGTGTATACAAACACCTAGGCATGCAGACTGCTTTTACAAACATTTGTGAAAGAATGGGTCACTCTCAGAAGCTCAGTGAATTCAAGCGTGGTACCGTGAAAGGTTGCAACCTGTGCAATAAGTCCATCCATGACATTTTCTTGCTACTAAACATTACACAGTTAACTGTTAGTGGTATTATAACAAAGTGGAAGCAACTGAGAACAACAGCAATTCAGCCACGAAGTGGTAGGTCACGTAAAATGACAGAATGGGGTCAGCGCACGCTTAAGCGCACAGTGTGCAGGGGTCACCAACTGTCTGCAGAGTCAATAGCTAAAGACCTCCAAACTTATTGTGACCTTCAGATTAGCACAACAACAGTGCATAGAGACATTCATGCAATGGGTTTCCATGGCTGAGCAGCTCCATCCAAGCCTTACATCCCCAAGTGCAATGCAAACGTTGGATGCAGTGGTGTAAAGCACGCTGCCACTGGACTCTAGAGCAGTGGAGACGTGTTCTCTGGAGTGATGAATTGCACTTCTCTGTCTGGCAATCCAATGGATGTGTCTTGCTTTGGCAATTGCCAGGAGAACGGTATTTGCTTGACTGCATTGTGCCAAGAGTAAAGTTTGGTGGGGGGGGTTATGTTGTGGGGTTGTTTTTTAAGGGTTGGGCTTAGCCCCTTAGTTCCAGTGAAGGGAACTCTTAAGATATCAGCATACCAAGACATTTTGGACAAGTTCATGCTCCCAACTTTGTTGGAACAGTTTGGGGATGGCCCTTTCCTGTTCCAACATGACTGCGCACCAGTGCACAAAGTAAGGTCCATAAAGACATGGATGAGCGAGTTTGGGGTGGAGGAACTTGACTGGCCTGCACCTCAACCTGATAAAACACCTTTTGGATGAACTGGAACGGAAACTGCGAGCCAGGCCTTCTTGTCTGGCATCAGTGCCTGACCTCACAAATGTGCTTCCCATAGACACACTCCTAAAAAGCTGTTATAGCTGCAAAGGGTGGGCCAACTCAATATTGAACCCTGCAGACTAAGACTGGGATGCCATAAAAGTTAATGCGCGTGTAAAAGCAGGCATTCCAATACTTTTTGAAATATAGAGTAGATAAATACAAACTTTAATAATGAAGTGATATAAAAATAAAAGGCGAAAAAGTTGTAAATATTACTAACATAGTTGCACAGTGTGAAAGCAAAGGCAAAAGCATAACATATCCAGTAAGTGTGTTAATGTGTAAACACATCACAGCATTCGCATATAACCTGTTAGATAACCAATATACTGTGAACAATCCACAACAAAATAATAACATTCCATTTCAGGTGAGTTCACAAGGTGTGCGTACTCTTTTAAATGACACACTGTGAAGTGCAGCCCAGTGTCATTCCAACCTGCCCACTTTCATAATGTGACCTCTACAAAGAAATGAGGTCTAACATGCATGTATCCCCACAGGGAGGAAATACTGCTCAGTCATAAAGAGTTTTTTTAGGTCTTCCAGAACAAAAAGGAGGGAGGACACCTTCCGTTTCCGATGCCTAGGCTGTCCAATCACAATTGTGAGCCGGTACCTGTCAAATTCGGGTTCGCGCTCCCCCCGCCCCCCCAAAGTTGCCGATCCTTAATGGGGAGCGGGGGAGCAGTCCTTAAAGCAGAACTTCCCCTTTTGGGTGGAGCTCCACTTTAAGGACTGCATCGCAAACAATAAAGTGCATGACAGCTCCTATTCACTATGATATAAACACCATAAATCAAATACATACATGTGTAACTAGAACAATGCTATCTTCAGTACAGCAAAAACCTCTCTTTTTGAAAACCACATATACAGTTGTGTTCAAAATAATAGCAGTGTGTTGAAAAAAGTGAATAAAGCTCAAAATCCTTCTAATAGCTTTTATTTCCATACACACAAATGTATCGGGGACGCTACACATTCTATTCCAAATCAAAACATGAAGAAAAATATATCAAATTTGTGTTGTTCCTCTAAAAAAATTGAAGAAAAGTGAATATTAGACTGTTCAAAAAAATAGCAGTGTTTGTATTCTTCTTTACAAACTGAAACATTCACTATATAAATTGAAAAATGTTTGAAGATTTTGCTTTCCTTTGAATCACTTAATTAATATTTAGTTGTATAAGCACTGTTTCTGAGAACTGCTGTACATCTGTGTTGCATGGAGTCAACCAACTTCTGGCACCTGTGAACAGGTATTCCAGCCCAGGATGATTGGACTACATTCCACAGTTCTTCTCTATTTCTTGGTTTTGCCTCAGAAACTGCATTTTTTGTCACCTCACAAGTCTTCTATTGGATTAAGATCCGGGGATTGGGCTGGCCACTCCATAACGTCAATCTTGTTGGTCTGGAACCAAGATGTTGCACGTTTACTGGTGTGTTTGGGGTCGTTGTCTTGCTGGAACACCCATTTCAAGGGCATTTCCTCATCAGCATAAGGGAGCAGGACCTTTTCAAGTATTCTGATGTATTCAAACTGATCCATGATCCCTGGTATGCGATAAATAGGCCCAACACCGTAGTATGAGAAACATCCCCATATCATGATGCTTGCGCAACCATGCTTCACTGTCTTCACAGTGTACTGTGGCTTGAATTCAGGGTTTGGGGGTTGTCTGACAAACTGTCTCCGGCCACTAGACCCAAAAAGAACAATCTTACTATCATCAGTCCACAAAATGTTGCGCCATTTCTCTTTAGGCCAGTCAATGTACTCTTTGGCAAATTGTAACCTCTTCAGCACATGTCTTTTTTTCAACAGTGGGACTTTGCGGGGGCTTCTTGCAGATATCTTGGCTTCACATAGGCGTCTTCTAATTGTAACAGTGCTCACAGGTAACTGTAGACCTTCTTTGATCTTCCTGGAGCTGATTGTTGGCTGAGTCCTTGCCATTTTCGCTATTCTTCTATCCATTCGAATGGTAGTTTTTCTTCCACATCTTTCAGGTTTTGGTTGCCATTTTAAAGCACTTGCAATCATTTTAGCTGAGCAGCCTATCATATTCTGTACTTCTTTATATGTTTTCCCCTCTCCAATCAACTTTTTAATCAAGGTATGCTGTTCTTCTGAACAATGTCTGGAACGACCCATTTTCCTCAGAATTTCAGAGAGAAATGCACTGTAACCCAGCATGTCCAACATTTCTGCCTTCCTTCCTTAAATAAGGGCAATAATTGCAACCTGTTTTTCAAAGAATGAATGACCTCACTAATAGAACTCCACACTGCTATTATTTTGAACATGCACTTTCAATTAGTGATTCAAAACACAGAATCAGCAGCATGCATGTCTTGACTGTTGGGTCTGTTGGATTTCTATTACTCTACTACACCTGCTAGTAAATTATTTGCCATATAGAAATATATAATTTCTACCAAAAACAGTGATTGATCAGGTTAGTGATGTCTGACTGCTATTATTTTGAACACAACTGTAAGTGTTAAAGTGCATTGTGCAACATGTGCAAAATCAAACAAAATTGTCATACAACAATGTAATCATAAAGTGCAAAATATATGTACAAAATTGTATATAACTCTTCAATCTTAATAACCCTATATAATAAAAAAAACCTCATCGATAATTCATGAATCCATTTTGTGCAATAGTGTCATTCATAAATAAATAAAAAGTCCACCAGTGATGAATAACTTATTTCCTGTGCAAACCAAATCTTCTTATTACCACCAATGAAGTGCTCTTCTACCACCAAACAAAATAGCTTTGTAGCTTCACCTGTTAAGGCCAACAACAAACAGTGAGAAAAACAGGTCATCAATGTCAGTAAAACCCGACTCAATAAAGACGACTCTAGTGTTATTGGTGTGGAGTTGTAAGAGAGATTTATGTAATAACTAATGCAAGATATAGGCTATAGGGCTGCATAGTAAGTGGGATTTATTTTTGTTTCAAGAATGTTGGTAAGCAGAGCTTGAGACATCATATTAAGACAGTTGACATCATCTAACTGTTCTTTACAGCTGATTTAAAGTTTATGTAAACCCTAACAATGAACTTTATTTGCTGCCTTTTGGTCTGTTAAATATACCATTGAGAGCATTTTGGTATATCTGTTTAACAAGTACAATAAATAGTAACAGCAGAGCTGTTTTGCATCCCGTGAATACTTACTGTGTTATCTCGAGGCATTTTATTAGACCTTCTAGTTCTTATGTTGGATTACAGATTAATTAGTGTCTATATTTTAAAGATGAGAAGAGTGTGAGCTTTTGAATAATTTAGCTAAATAAAAATGCTGCGTATTGTCAGCCCATAACAGGACTTAAGAGTTGAGTTCACTTCTGGAAGATCAACAGTACTTTTCTGTACTTGTAGGGCCTTTAAAGAAATAAAACATGAGGAAATATGCATTTATTGAAGAGATGTACTACTTATGTTTTTTTTTTATTTATGTTTCACTGTCATACAGTTTGAGTCTCAAGCGCGGAGCTGTACGATAGCAGCACTCACTTAATATTATAGAAAGAATAATATATCCAACTAATGTGAACTCTATAGTTGAAACCATATAGACATAGGAAAAATAAAAAGTCTTAATGTTTTGAACACAATACAGATAAGGATGCAAAGAAATTGTATTTGGGAAATTTTCACTGTGCGCATGAAATTATTTGATAGCAGCGAGTATACATATAGTAGATAGTGTCCTGTCTGCAAGCTAATTTGTTTCAGGTTTAGCCTAATACATTTGTCAACAGATGTTTCAGCTATTCCATACAATAACTCTGGGTAAAGTTGATACATCACTCATAAAAAGTAACCTGAAATGTGTTTAGTAAAATCTTTGATGTTGCAAAATAAGAATAACAGAAAATTTACCTATATGGGAGCTTAATATACATAGCTGCAAAAGAATTATGATTCCCTCTAGTAGAATCATGGCTAATTAAATGAACTATTAGCTGCCATCTTAAAAACAAATACCAAAAACATTTTATTGTTAATAGAAAATAATATCTTAAACCATTTGTTTCAATATACAACAGTACTGATAATAATTACAATGCTTCTACCGACAATGTTGCAGTTCAGCCATGGCATTGTTGGAGCTGTCCTGTACACAGCTTGTGTATGGAAAGCTCCCTGAAATGTCATTTCTTGCTTGTGTAATTAGTTCACTGATTTTCCCAGGAGTCTGCATTAAGATACATCAGATTTTTAGGCATCCTCTGAAACATACATTTCATTTCTGGTGAGATGCACCTAAAGGGTTCATCACTTCTAAAGGTATGCAGAACATTTCTCATTAGAAAGACACCCCCATTTAGAATTAGTTTCCAAAAGATCCATTCACACAACCAGATTGTATGTGTTATGTAGGTATCCAGACACATTTTCCATAAGTTCCGCATGCAATTCACATGCGGTATTTAAGTAATGTGTACTGGTTGTTAAGAACTGGGCAGCCTTGTTTCCCATTGACAGCTGAATTTTAAAAAA